ATGAGTATTTTACTATAAACTTCATAATGGGTGACCTTATATTGAAGACCTGATTCTGTCTCTGTATAGTCCGGATATTTCATTTTGGTCTTGCCATAATCCTTCCCCCTAAGAGCGGGCACTGTATGTGTTCAAATATGCCAACTGTTAACATATCTTGGAGCCCCAATCTCCATTCTTAATGAAAAACTTACATAATCTCATCAAATATACCAAAAGAGAATGAGACATAGACAAAACCACCAAAAAGTACTTCAATGTACATAATATCGAAAAGACTACCACGGTAAAGTACCTATATATCTTTTACCCATAATTAAACCTAGTTATTTGACAACAGTAGTGATAAGACTATCACCCTTAGAAGTAAAAATACATGTCCCAACTATCCCTTTCATGTACTTGAACATTCTATAGAAAACACTCGTAGAACCTTCCTTTGAACTAGGCATAAATTGAACTACTATTCCTAAGGCAATGGTAATGTCAAGTTTGTATGGACCAAACAAATCAAATTACCCAGCAAGTCTCTAAACCACGGTCAGTAGACTCAATTTTTTGGTTTCACTCACAGGAGAATCACCGGCCTTTAAACTTATCTGGATTGGACTCTGTTTTCATCATGAAGTTGAGGGGTATTGTTGGGACTAATGAGCAGTGGGCCACTTCAAATTCACATCTGAACAACCATTCTACTCTAGTAAAAAATAGAAAGGAAGAAATGATAAGAATACAGGAAATTACTATCAGCAAATTCAGAAGCAACCGCCAGTCCATCATCTGCGACATTCAACAAGGCTCCAGCGAGCAGGCCGAAAGATGAGAAAACCACACCTCTCCGGTCAAATACTAGCTTGAAACATCCTTCAGTACTATCCCCTTCATAAGAAACACAAACAATTACTCAAAAAGTACCACCAAGTTAAAAGTTTGCAGCGTTAAGAAAGCCTGAAATGAAACAAATACCAGAAGAAGAAGCAGAAGAAGAAGGCTCAGAATCATGGGGAAAGTGAACGAAATGAGGTCCGCGCCAGCTCTAAATCAAAATAGCAAAACCCTTTACGCAGCACAAGGAACCGAACAGTTAAAGCAATCGAGATTGGGAACGAAGTGGAGAACGTACCGTGTTCAAAGAGTTCCTCCCGAGGAAGAGAATGGGGAATTTGAGAAGAGACCCAGTAGCGGAAATGGACGCCATGGGGTTGAACAGTGGAACAAACGCCCCGCAAGCGCTCCGCGAGAAGATAACGGCCTCACCTTTGTACCTCACTGCCTCTCCGTCTTTTATCCGTTATTTTTATGCGTCTACTCTTTTTAATTTTTTCATAACAACTCTTTTTAGGGTAAATTATTTATATATTCCGAGCTTGCATAAATATTTCAAAATAAATTTTTTAGCTATTTTATAGTCAAACCAACGCGACAATCAGACATGATAGTGACTAAAATGCTTATCTTACGACGTAATAGAAGCCTACTAAAGGACCCGTCAAAATTTCAATTTCAATCCCTAAGAACCCGGAGTAGGCGTCATATATTACATCATAAGAGTCTGAAAAAAACATTTTAAAAGAGGAAAAACAGGCTCCCCCAGTTTTTATTAGCTTTCTCCTTGGCCACCATCACACTTTGATGATGTTCAACTGGGAGGAGTTTTAATGGCTGGCCGATTTGAGGGAGTTGGCCTTGTCTTGGAGAGTATTAAGCAGGCTGTCAAAGCTCTTCTTGAAAGAATCCACTCCTTCAACTTCTAGCTGATTCCCAACTTCACTCCAGTGTATTCCCAGCTTCTCAAGTGCACTGTATATCCCTTCCGCCTCTGATACGTTTGAATCGATTGTCCTCGAAACAGTTCCGTGGTCTATAAATGCTTCAAGAGCTTGGTCCGGCATGGTCGAAACCTGAAGAGGGGGGAGCCATGAATGCCTGTTTAAGGTTTAATCAATTTGATAGAGCGGATATGTGATCAGATGACTTACAGTGTCGGGTCCAATGAGCGGAGCAACGTATAAGGTGTCGAGGTATGCGGGGTTCTTAACACTTGTAGATGCCCAGAGAAGCCTTTGCTTCTTTGCACCCTTCTTCACCAGAGCCTCCCATCTTGGGCCTGAGAACTTCTTCTGGTAGAGCTGATAAGCCAGGGCTGCTTGAGCAACTGCAGCCTAAGATATTGAACATACGATATATCGGTCACCAAACGTTATAGTAAACTTCCATATGTGAAGAATTACTCCGGAAATAATGATGCAGTCACCTTTCCTCGCAGATCAAGGGCCTCCGGTGTTCCAATTTTCTCGAGCAATTTGTCGATAAGGCTGTCCACTCGACTTACAAAGAAGGAAGCTACACTTGTGACTCTAGATAGGTCGCTCAAACCCGAGGCCTCAAGTCCATCCAAGTAAGCATCAATGACTGCCTCATATCGAGCAACGGAGAATATGAGCTGTGGGAGAAATCAGGAAACAAATGTTAATGGAGGTCGGATAAACACATCGAAGTATGCAACGTAAAAGAAACAAGGATGCATAGAGAGAGAACTTACAGTGACATTGACACTTATGCCATTTGCAATAGTATCCCTAATTGATGGGATGCAAGCAGCAGTAGCAGGGATTTTGATGTACACGTTCCGGCGGCTAACAACTTTGTGTAGCCACTTTGCAGCCTCAACAGTTCCTTCGGTGTCATCAGCAAGCTTTGGAGATACTTCGACCGAAACATAGCCATCACCAGCATCTGTTTGATCATAGATAGGCTCGAAAAGTTTGCACGCATCTTGAATATCCTTCACCACGAGTTCCCAATATGCACTTTCGATATCTTTTCCCGATTGAATGAGTTCTCTGAACATTCAATTAATACAATCACCATCCATGAAATATAGAAAAGATCAAAGAGACAGATATCAATAACTTTTTAATATAAAAATACCTGAATTGGTCGTTATAAGCATTTGAAGATGAAATTGCTTTCTGGAAAATCTGTAAGAGGATAAAAGCAATGAGTTCAAGAATTCTGGATAGCTGATAACAACATTACATGATTTTGAATACTTACTGCTGGGTTGCTAGTTACACCTCTTACACCTTTGGAAATGAGAGGAAGCAAGTCGGTGACAGGGCGGCAGAGATTATCATACCATGGAGACTGTCCTTCCTTTTCGTAAAGATCATGAAGCACCGTTCTCTTCGTCGGGATTCCATTTCCATCACCTTGAGAACACTTAACACTGTAAATAACAACATGAAATTCATAGCCTCACATTAGTTCCCAAACAAGCATCGCACAAACAAATGTTAAGCATAGGTAATCCTCCAAGGTTAAGAGTGTGTTGCTGTCAATGCATCTCGAGGATTCGGACAAACACGCTTCGGGAGCATGGATTGTCCACAGATGGCTTAGAACAATCCCACGTCAATTTTTACAACATTAATGAAAATGAAATAATCATTATAAGCTAGAAAATCTTTAAGTTTTCTGTTCAACTTCGAAGTCTAAATCTAATCCCAGTTATCAGAAACTTCAGAGAACTTGAATGACTTCAAACTGCCCATGTTTCTTGGATCATTATCATTTCAAGAACTGAGCAATGAATCAAAGTTAAAGAAATTAGCTAGAAATCCTACTTCGATGAGAATTTGAGAAAACTACAAAAATAGGTAAGAGCTAAGTTCTAGAGAAGAATCAAACACTCCTCCGGCATGCTAGATTAATAGACATGAAAGAAAAAACAAGAAATCAATTAATAGACATGAAAGAAAAACAAGAAATCAATGATGAGAATACAATCAAACAATAAGATCTAAGAGAATCCACAGAAACACACAGATCCTACAAATGCAGTTCTACCACTACAAAGAGTGTGCGAAATGGAAAACAGATGATCAAGAATTCATCGACACACATGAAAAAACGAAGCAGAAACAGACAAAACAAAAACATCAACAGATCTTCGTAGGAAAAACAGAAAGAAACCCAAAACAAAAATTTGTCAAAAAACCAAAAAGCCCCGATCAAAATCACCCAAAACGCATAAAATAAAAATCCACAAAGAAGGGGAAAAAGAAACATACACCAAGGAGCCCGTCAAGTGCGATGATCTCCGAACGGACAATCTAGAGGCGAAGAGGTTGAGGCAGGAATCGGAAGAGGGCCGGAAGGCAATAAAGGAGTTGGAGGGGAGGGAAGATCGAGAGTTGCGAGAAGAGAATGGAGAAGGAGACGAGATGAGAGTGGATAGCTTAGAAATGGAAGCCATGCGAGCGAGCGAGGGAGGTATGGAAGGAAGAGGAACCGCGGAGGAAAGGGAGCAGAGATGGGAAATTAAAGAACAGATAAAGATCAAGGCGGAGGATGAAATATATGCCTCAGAGTTGGAAGGGAGCTGAATTGCATTGCAAGTCCGGTTTGAGTTTGACCCAAACCAGCAGCTGTTTTCAGATTTCCGTTGTGGCGGCCAGTAGCTGACACACTGCGCCAACCAACCACCCCCAAATTCTACCAAATTATTTATATATTTAAAAAAAAAAAAGAAAAAAAAACTTGATTTTTTATTATTCCATCATTATTATTATTATTTCCTATAAAATAAGATTAAATTTCATAATTTTCCTAACTCCGTTTGGTTTTAGATTTTCCATATTTTAAATTTTAAAAATTTTATATTATATCTATTTTTCTTTAGTATTTATTATATTATATATAGGAGGTCTTGTTCCATGACTCAAACTGGTAGTTCAAGATCTTGGTTTGCCCATTGCAAAATCAACTCCAACCGAACATAGTGTAAACCCGATCGAGCAATGTCAATCAGTCGTTTAGGGTATAAGAAATAGGCTTCCATGGAAGGAAAAATGATTGAAGGGCTGCTGGAGGAGAGAAAGAGGCATAATGTTTTGTATCCCTTCAGATGCCCCAAGGGCTGGCGGCGGATATAACTTGCATTGCTTGAACCATAGCCCTTCAGATGCCCCAAAGCCATTGGAAGAAGGGAAAAAGAAGAAAAAAAAAAAATCAGGGTTATTGTTGACAGCTATACCACATTTCAAAATTACGATTTTATAAGAACGAGGCGAAGGCTAAATCATACACCATTTGTGCCACTGGCAGCCCGAACCCGACTTTGAGTTGACTGACTTACTCTCCGTGAGCTTACCTACCAAGGCTTCAGGTCCCCCACAGGCCGCCCTGCAGTCCAGTTCAAAATCCTCTCACCTGGCTTCAAGTAAATTCTCCCATCCTGCACCAACTTTCGAGCCAACCCATTCAGAATCTGATGGAAAGCATCGCCTGATTGAGCTGGTTGAGGGAACATCATAGCTCGTTTCATAGATGGATTTGCCAGCAGTCTTTGCTTCCTTAATATCACATGAGGCAGTATGGATGTGAGGATCGTGTCGAGGTTGGGGACATCTTTTTCGTCTACAAACACGCCAATTTCTTCCCAGGGAATAGCATCAGCAAAAGGTAAGACAATGTCATCAGCTATGATAACAGGGATGCAACCGAACACCACTGCCTCCACCAGCCTCGGACTCCATGGCGCCCACCCGAGAGGACATAAACAGAATATCGCTCGCTGCATATCTTCATAATAAGTTGTAGGATGATTGGTAGAGATGTCGAAGAGGGCATTGTTTTTAAAGTTCTCCCACACTGCTGCTCTTGCACCTCTGCAAGTTACATTAAATCGTCAAACACAGAGTCGAGTTTCGGTTTCTTATTCGTGCCATTTTCAACACTGTTTCATATTAAGAATGTAAAAAACAAGAAAGGCAGAACAGACACACACACCTTGCATAATAACCACCTTCTGGGTCATTGTTAACATCGTAAAACAATCCCCGGAAATAGACGAAGATAGAACGAGGAGTTTCGAGGGGGATCAGATGGGATTTCATTTTCTGGGGAGGACAATATGGAGGAATAGTGATGGAACCTTCATTCGAGCAAACATGATGCTTTTGTCCAAAAGTTTGAACCAAAGTTGCACGCTGAAGTAAGGGAAGAATTCCACGATCAATAGCCTTCTCTTCCTACCACAATACAACAATCAAGAGGGATGATGATTCATATGCTTGAAGAAAGGAAAAACTATCAGCATACTTATGAACTGATATGCTCAACCTCCCTTGTTTCCCAAAATGTAGCAAAGGCAAGTATTAAATCATTGCTAGATCCAAAATTTTAAGTAGATATATTATGATCTGAAAATACTAGTCGTAAAGCACTCACTTGTGGGTTTAGAAATTAGCACAAGCCTCCACAAGTGATTACTAATATTGAATATGAATTGGGAGAGAAATGAATTCGAACCTTGGATCTCATGCTCTGATACCAAAAAACTAAAAAAACTTAAATTTAGTGTGAGATCCCACATCCCTTGAGGAGGAGAGCGAACATTCTTTATAAGGGTGTGGGAACCTCTCCCTATCAAACGCATTTTAAAAACCTTGAGGGGAAACTCGGAAGGGAAACCCCAAAGAGGACAATATCTGCTAGTGGTGGACTTGGGTTGTTATAGTTTGTATCAAAGTCAGACACTGTGCGATGTGCTAGAGATGAAGCTGAGCCCCGAAGGGGGTGGACACAAGGAGGTGTGCCAACAAGGACACTGAGCCCTGAAAGGGGTGCATTGAGATGTTTCACATCGATTGGAGAAAGGAACAAGTGCCAACGAAGACGCTGGGCTCCGAAGGAGGGTGGATTATGAGGTCCCACATCAGTTGGGGAGGAGAACGAAGCATTCTTTATAAAGGTGTGGAAACCTCTACCTATCAGACACATTTTAAAAACCTTGAGGGGAAGCCCGGAAGGGAAAGCCCAAAGAGAACAATATCTACTAGTGTTGGGATTGGGCGGTTACATTTATGATAGATTTTGGTTTTCATACATTTCTTAACATTCTACTCTTGTGAGCTTGAAAAAGAGTATAAGATCAACAAGTGAGTATCAATATTAATGATAAAGGAAATAACATTCCAAATTATGTGTAATCTTGTGTACATATGGTCTTATTGAGAATGAGAAGGTAAGTTAAGTTACCTGATAATGAAAGCAAGCTCCAAAGTCATGAGGCACAACAAAGAAGTGATCAGCACCCTCAGTTCTATTCCAGTAAGGCCAGTTAGAAGAGATAAGCTGAATGGCGCTTCGCATCATTCGTGGGGATTTGAAGGGCAATGGCAAGCCATTGGGGGTGAGGTCACAAGTGACATAGATCGGAGTATAAAACCAATCCGCTTCATCAGGGTTGAGAGTTCTGACAGGACTGTTTAACAGGAACCTATGCATGTATATCTCAGCAGCAAACATATGGGTTAGACATCTTTGATCCTTTTGAAGAATCTTCTTATTGTATTTGCTTGGAAGATCATAAACATACACTTTCAACCTTCCAATTGGGTTGTCTTCTAACACATCTCCAGCACTCCCTGCATCCATACCCAAACACCTACGGATCAATTCTAGCTCTGCAGTACCCAAACACCTACGGATCAATTCTAGCTCTGCAGTGGGGGCGGTTAGGAATCACAACTCTCTACAATGATATGATATTGTCCACTTTGAGCATAGACTCTCTTAGCTTTTCTTTGGGCTCCCAAAAGGTCTCATACCAATATGGAGATGTATTTCTTACCTATAAACTCATGATCATCTCCTAAATTAGTCAATGTGAACTTCCTCCCAACAATCAACCATCATCAATCATCAACAGGGGGCGTGTAATGTAATGTTCATTATCATTTTAATTTCAAAGGTTCAATGTAATCACTGACTAGACCAGAATCTGATTCAAATAAACTCAAATACCCCCAAAACAAAGCATAATTAGGTACTAAAAAGTAGGAACACTCGTTGGAAAAAGAGAAATTCAAGAATAAACCCAATACGCATCAGAAATGAGGATCAAGAAAACAATAGAGAAACAGAGCAGCCCAATCCACAACCATCAGAAGTTAAATAAAAAGCTTAGAAGAACAATGGTAAACCTGAAATTCGTTCGGTGGGGACGGCATTGGGAACAGCGCCAATCCTGGAAACCAGAGAAATAGTGAAAACCCAAAGCCAGAGCTTCATCATTGCCGGCCTCAAGAGCCCAAATCGGAGTATTGAAGTGATGAGACAAGCAAAAACCGAAATGGATTTTGGGTGTCCCGTTTGGGAGAGAACAATGCTGATTGAATTTGAAGAGCTACGAGACCCAAATGGTTGGGACGTCGGGAGGTAGGTTGTTGGAAGAACAAGGGTTTCTTAGACATTTGGTTTAGAGACCAAAAAGGAAATATAAACATTGTTATGGAATGAGAGAGAGAGAGAGAGAGAGAGAGGAAATTGCTTGAAGAAACAGAGAAGCCAAATGTGGATTGGGTGAAGAACAGTGAAATTACATCAAGAACTGAGAATCTGGCATGGCAAAGGGTTTAGAGAATAGGCAGAGTTGGAGCCGCATTGGCCGCTAGGAAGCCCAAATCTCTCGTAAGCCATGGAAGACGGCTCAAGAGCTAAACCGATTTTCCTGCCCCGAGAAATGGACCTTCAACCTTCCGCAGGTCTGCTTTCTGTATCACCTCCCCGCCAAATTAAGAAAAGGGGTGTAAGTTCATAAAATTTAAAAAATACATATCATTACAAAAAATTGTTCCTTTAAACCTTACATATTTCAAAATCTTGTCACTCAAATGTTTTTTTAAAATATTATCCAAACATATAATTGTTCCAAACACGATTCTAAAGTTTTGGTGTAATTAAATTTTAATTCTTTTAAATATTTATTATTTATTCTATCTTCGATCTATTTAAAAAATATATATTTATTATACATATTTAAAAAAAATTAGGATGATAAGTTGATGGTCTAAAGAAGAATTGGACTTCAACAAGTGGATGGACACGTGTCATGAAGAGAGGATCTTAAGGATGACATGTGGCCAAAATCCCACCAAAATTGTACAAATCTATTATTATTATTATTATTATTATTACTTCAATAAATAAAATAAATATGGCGACAATGAAAATAAATAATCGGTTGTAACCGTTTCTATAATGATAATAATAACAATGCATATTGAGGTCATAGTCGATGGCAGAAATTAAATTTTGTATATATCTAAATATATTTAATTTGGCTAAATTAAATTATACGTTCTTTTATTATTATTTGAGGGGTGGGGTTAATTTGATTTAATATTCCAATAAAAAACAGAAAAATATAAAATATAAAATAATAATTTAATATAAAATTTTGAAAATATATTTATAGTAAGTACGGTGGGTTAGTTGGTTGGTTAGTTGGTTGGCATGACTTTGTAAATAAATCAGAAAATGATTCTTACCAAATTAATTTATTTATAAAATTGTTATGGAATTTAAAGGTGTTTTATTTATTTATTTATTTATTTATTTTAATTATAAAAGCCATTTAATTAATTTTTATTTATTTTTTCGTTTTGTGGATAATTAATTAAAAAAAAAAGAAAAGAAAAGAAAAGAAAAGAAAAAAAAAAGAAGACAATATGCTGATGCTTCTTGACAGTTCATTTTGATCATCCGGTTAAATCGCTGAAGACGGCGCGTTGAACTACACGCATTTAATTGACTCGTCATTTTCCTCTCCGTTTTCGCGGCTCTCTCTCTCTCTTCTTCCACCTCTGTAAATGGCGAGGGAGCGAAGGAGAGAGATCTGGTAGTACAAAATCTCCTCTCCTGATCACTCAGCCTTCGTTCATGGCGATTCCGCTTTCGAGGTCCGAAGAGCGCAACGTAACGTCGATGGAAAAGTCAGCGTGGACGGAGCAGGAGGAAGAAGAAGATGAGTTCAAGGAGTGTCTTGAAGAACCAAATGGTTCTGTCACGCCTGTGTTCGAAGATAGCTTGGAGAGCAATGAGGTCGAGAAGCAGAAGGTCGTGATTATGAGAGCTTTTGTTGAAAGAGAAGACTCCTCTGCTAAGGTTACTTACTCCTCTTTCATTTACTGATCCCATTAAGATGGAGAAAATTTCGCTTTCCTGCGTTTCTTTTGTTTCATTGAAGTTCGGTTGGTTTGATTTGTGTTTCTCTGTCATAATGTTAGCCATTGTCTCAAATCCAAGCTATAATGTTTCTTTTGAGAATTTTGGCTCCTACTGGAAAGATCTTGCGGATTTTTTCTCGAGAAAATTTGCAACCAATGGCTGGATTTGATCTTTTATAATTTCCTGTTATTCTGTTTTCATTTTGCTCTGGTTCCGTTCAACCTTTCCATGGGGGGATCAATATGTTTTTGCCTCCTTTAACTTATTTCAGAGGTAACTATGAATTACGCTCTTGCATTCCTCAAATCTACTAGTAACTTTTAAATCTTTGAATCGTCCTTTTATTCTTCAATTAGTTGACCATACTTTAACTGGAATTGACGCCACAATTTATATCATAAAGTTTAACCATTTTCAAGATATACAGGTACAATTTGCAGCTTTGCGGATTATCCATATTTTAAAAATATCCAAACCTAAAGCAAGAGCAATTTGGCATATATAAGAAATCTTGTGAAATGGAAACTATGGCGAGTAATTGAATAAATTGCCATTTTGAGATAAACTTAAAATTCTTCATACCAATCTGAGCTCGTGATTGATTTCGTGAATGCAGGATGTAGATGACTTCATGATACGAAGGTTTCTCCGAGCTCGTGATTTAGATGTAGAGAAGGCTTCTGCCATGTTTCTGAAGTACCTGAGCTGGAGAAAAGCAGCTATTCCTAATGGATTTATATCAGCATCTGAGATATCGACCAATCTGGCTCACAACAAGCTGTTCATGCAAGGTGTTGATAAGAAGGGACGTCCAATTGTAGTCGGCTATGGTAACAGACACAAACAAGGAAATATAGAAGAGTTTATTCGTATGTTATGACTTTGAGCTCATGTGTATCCAAACTTGAAGCCTCTCTTATTTGCTTCACTTAAAAATCACAGATTGTCTTATTATCTTTTATCCTTTTGCAGGTTATGTAATCTTTGCTCTAGAGAAAATATGTTCCAGGTAGTTTCTGCTTCTGAAATACTTGTTCAAATGCCGGGATTTATTTCTTATTTGTTCCATCTTTTAGGATGCCAAGAGGACAGGAAAAGTTTGTGTGTATTGGCGACCTTCAAGGATGGGGATACTCTAATAGCGATATTCGGGGATACCGAGCCTCTCTATCAATCCTACAGGTTTGACATTTGAACATTCAGGAGTTCTTTAAGGCAATGTTCCAAACATCGCAACTTCTTGAAAACTTGACTAAAAAAATTTGATGTCGAAGGGATGCACCACCTTACTATTTTGTAACTCTCAAGACCTTAAGAATCGCAGTGATTCACCGCTAGTAAGATTATAGAACTGCATATCAAGTAGTGTAACAGTTGTTTGATTGTGTTGCTTTCAGGATTGCTACCCAGAGAGGCTGGGCAAGTTATATATCGTTCATGTCCCTTTCATTTTCACGACGGCATGGAAGATGGTTTACCCATTTATCGACAAGAACACCAAGAAGAAGGTAAAATTTCTATCGCGTTTCCCCTGAAGCAGATTCTTGTGTGCGCCAGTGCCGTAGAATTTTATCCTAAAATTCACTGTGTTGGAAGTACTCCTAACCTATTAAAAGTAATTTGCACAATTTGTATGGTACTTGGTTTTTTTTTTCTAACCATTTTCAAACTGTGTTATATGGTGTTCGTAGATAAAGTTTGTGGAGGACAAAAAGCTGAGATCCACGCTGCTCAGTGACATTGATGAGAGCCAGCTCCCTGATGTGTATGGTGGCAAACTTTCGCTAGTTCCAATCCAAGACTGCTGAATTATGGTTATACTCATACCAATCCTCTCAACTTTTCTGCTACTTGTGTTCTAGTTGTTGGTAACGCTATATTCAATAAAATTAATACTCCATAAGCTTTTACTCAGGAAACAACTCTATTAGACAACTTCGATGGTAGAAAGTTAATGAATTACAAGACAACTTATTCTTAGTTCATCTTTTCCAAGTTTTGGTTTGTAAAGTTACGTTTCATTTTAAATCTTGTTCTTCAAGCTCCAAAAGTGATATGTTAGTTGAAAAAAACGGTCATTTTGATTCATTTTCCCATTGGAGGATTTTATTTTATCAAATCTCCAAATATTCCACATTCTCGTCGGGTTGCAAGAGAATTTTCACGCAACCACAGAGAATATGATACACATAAACGGGTTATTGCCGCAGGGTATGTTTAAAAGAAATCCCAATTGCACGAATCGAACCAAATTCCACACAAAAAGGAACTTTGAAGTCTTGTTATTACAAGCACTTAAGAGGAATGGTATGCATTCAAATGTATGGTTCCTTTGGAACAGACCATTGACGACTACAGCAGTCAACAAAACCATAATCAAACTCGACTATTTACCGAAAGCTTAGCCTAGTAGCAGATGAATTGTCATAATAAGAGAGTGGCAAATTTGCTTCACCATACCATAGCTAAGACTACCAGAAGCTGGTCCTCCTTGAGGCAAACCAGCGTAATCTCTCCCCCCATCCTGAGAGGCCACCGGTGAATAGTAAGAGCGATGCGGAGATGGAAACCTGTGCTGTGAGCGATATGGAGATGGCAACCTATTCTGTGAATGATATGCTGCTTGTGACAGAGGAGCAGTATGTGAGGCCGTAGGAGACAGCCATTGGCTGTAGTAACGAGGAATAAAATCTATGCGAGCATCATCTACTCGATCAGACTGCAAATGTGGTGCATGATACCTGCGCCCATACACATCCCGGAGATCTCCATTATCATAGGTCTCGATCGGATTGCGAATACTGTTGAAGTACAAAGGAATATACATCATGGGTTATCAACTTATATAGCTCCAGTCCCAGTAAGAATAAAAATTTCCAAAAAAAGCCAGCCACTTGATAAACACGTCTAAAGTAGAATACAACTGCATAAAAAAACCAAGCCCACAACTCCAACTAAAAGAAGAGGTTTCAATCAAATAAAATAAGACCAAATGAATAATGCTTGTCACCGAAGTCCAAAGGGAAAACATAGACTCTGACTAGGACTAAACAACACTAGGTGATCTCTCGATCCCTCGAAAACGAGACAACCCCCGCAGTCCACAACTTGCATATATTATCGTTATCTGCACTCATTCTAAATCAGTTGGACAACTTGCAGAAAGAAAAGCACAGAATGACCCAAAAGAGATATATTTAAGACGATAAAAAGAAAAAAAAAAAAAATATATATATATATATATATACCTTTCATATGAATTTGGAGGGTATCTTAAAGAATTTTCACGAAAATATGCTTCATGTGCATGCTCTGGATGATAAGCTTCAACATGACGGGGAGGGGCTTCTACTCTTACAAGCCTAGGCTGCACTTGTGAATGAGAGAAATGTAGTCCTGGTTCAAATGGATCATACTGCACATGACGAACATCATGTTGAGACTTTGACTCAATGTCCGGAAGGTAGTGATCATGTTGAGGCCTTGTCTCAATGTCTGGAAAGTAGTGCACTGCAGACGACAAGTTCTCAAGAGGATATGATTTAACCACTTTAGTTCGTGTAGACCTAAATGATGGCCTATTCGCCACATTTGGACAAACGTGTGATTCCTTATGAGATGTTTTATTCTTGGCAATAGGGCGGAACAAGGAAATTAGATGTTTTACCTACAGTAAAAGACAGCCCTCAGCAAATTATAATCAGCATTCTTCACTAAAATGAGCATTTGCTTTTAAATGTATGAAACATAGAACTGAAAGCAATTCAACATAAAGTTCTAGGACAATGTAACCTGTGTGCTACTGAGTTCCTGTCTGAATTTCCGATGACCATCATAATTGTCTTTAATAGCCTTTTTGAAAGCACTTTCGGGAAGAGGTAAGCAATCCTTGAATATCTTAAATTTCACCTACATCAGAAAAACAAAGGAATAAAAAAATAACTCAATGGAAAGAGGAAGCTTGCTATTTTGATGCATATGTCCCAGCCACTAGAAATCATAAGAATATACATAACCATGTGATGCAAAATATAAAAGAACACTTACAGCATCAAATTAAACAATCTCTTCAAGGCACTGCCCACTAAAGGCATTAAACAAGATAATGATTGTCACATTTAGGCATGTACAAGCGGAGGCACTCGCTTCAGTTTTTTGCACCCAAGGAAAGGAAGATAGTCAGACCTTTAGGCATGAACGGGACTAAAAGCCTTTTTCACATCCACCGTCAATAAAAAATAAAAACATCATATAATTTATCAGATAAAAGGATATCCATTACAAACCATAGGAATAATTAATGACATAACAATTCCTATATGAATAGGATAGAGAAGAAGTAATTAGAAAGCATAGGAAAGAAATATTCTTCACTCCATCAATGCCTCAAAAGATGCTCACCCTCAACAGGCAATTTAATCAACCAACAAAAAAGACTAATCAAATCCAAAACTCATTTAACGATTTAGTCACTAATATGAAAATTGTTGCAAAGATTTAATGCGATTTAATTCATGTCATTATATGTTGTCGAAAGGTAACCTAGTTAATTGATCATGATTTGGTTTATAAATATCTCTTTTTAGAGCGACATAAACTCTCTTTTAAAAGCGACAAAAACACACCTAAATTATGTACCAAGTGGTCATATTCAACTTTTCTTTCTTGTCACTTCTAGTCTCTCCATTCTTCAACAATAGTGATAACAAAGACCTCACTCCATGCATTAGCAGCATGGATACGATACAACAAGACACTGTGATACATTATTTTAAAAAATTTGGGACATGACAATGACATATACCTACACAAACACGCGGGCACACACACTGATATAAAAAACACACCTAAATTTATAATTATGAACCAAGTTGACATATTCAACTTTTCTTTCTTTCCACTTCTACTCTCTCCATTCTTCGAACAACAGAGATAACAAAGACCTCACTCCATGCATTAGCAGCATGGATACGATACAACAAGACATGATACATTATCTTTTAAAAATCTGGGACACGACATGACAATGACATATGCATACACAAACACACGCGCGCACACATAAAAAACACACCTAAATTTATAATTATATACCAAGTTGTCATTATTCAACTTTTCTTTCTTTCCACTTCTACTCTCTCCATTCTTCAACAACAGAGTTAACAAAGACCTCATTCCATGCATTAGCAACATGGATATGATACTACAAGGACACTGTGATACATTATCTTTTAAAAATCGGGGACACAACATGACAATGATATATACATACACGCACGCGCACATGCACATGCACACACATATATAAAAAACACACCTAAAGTTATAATTATGAACCAAGTTGTCATATTCAACTTCTCTTTCTTTCCACTTCTACTCTCTCCATTCTTCAACAACAAATATAACAAAGACCTCACTCCATGCATTAGCAACATGGATACGATACGACAAGGACACTGTGATACATTATCTTTTAAAAATTTGGGACACGACATGACAATGATATATACATACAGGCACACACACGCGCACACACACATGCACACACGCACACATGCGCGCGCACGCACACATGCGCGCGCACACACACATATAAAAACACACCTAAATTTATAATTATGTACCAAGTTGTCATATTCAACTTTTCTTTCTTTCCACTTCTACTCTCCATTCTTCAACCTCACTCCATGCATTAGTAGCAGGGATACAATATGACAAGGACATTGTGATACATTATCTTTTAAAAATCTGGGACATGACATGACAATGATATATGCATACACAAACTCACGCGTGCACACACACAGAGATATATACACTATTTTATACTAGGAAATTTAAAATCAATAAGTTTATACATTTAAAATGCTTAAAAAATAGGTTTATTGTATCTCTCCCAAATTTAATTATTTTTTCCTATGCTATATTTGTGCTATTTGTTAGGAGTCTCAAATGTTTGGCCATCCTTATTCACTTGGTACAACTTAAGTGTTAAACACGAATACATTAACCAAGCTAAAGTATCCATACTTCTTATATTAGAATGATGCATAAGAATATCCATTTTGCCGCAGTAACGCGAGGGGGTTCCTACCAAGTTGAACGGGGACGAAGACAGTGAAATGACCTCGTCCCAATCCCTACTTGCCTTCATTTTTAAATAAGAATATATAATTGAATAACTTCGATCCCCTTGAGTCCCCCACCTTGACTGTAGGGACAAGATTTAAATGAGGGCATGAGCAGAGACGAAGAAGCCATCCTCATCCTTGTCCCCATCCCACCCTGCAAAAGTCCCTAATAATACATACCCCACCTATCTATAGGAAAGTTTTACCCATCTAAGTCTAGCTCTAAAAGACAACAAAGGTTCTATATTATTAAATTCTCAATCCTTATTGGCTTGAACCCAAGCTTGGAGGGCACATCCAAATATCTCATCAAGTCCCACACAAATCACCACTTGAGGTTAGTTTTACTTTCTATTAAAATGCTCAAACAATTCTTCCTTTTTTCTCTCTCATTTAAACTCCTCTTCACATAAATATTAAAATTCAAAGTTTTCTTTCAAAAAGTTTATTGAACTAGAAGAAAACTAAATGAAGCCCAAATTTGGAGAACTCCCAAATTCAAGGATGCAATTGAACAAATTATAGAGTGGATCTTGAGAGCCCGTTCAAGTAACGTCGCTGCTCTTAAAGCAACCATTTGATCAAGTTCAAACATATAAAGAAACACAATTGCTTGTAAAACCCCATATGCTTATAATGCATAAGGCAAACACATTTCCTAACATAATAATGTGACATGCTTGATTCAAAAATCTGGATTGAGATGCTTGAATTAGTTAAGGCAACTTTGCCCAAAAGACGATTCTATAGCCACCCTAACTTAACATATTGAGTTGTACACTTAAGTTTTGAGCTTTTAGACCTCCTATTTTGACAACAACAAAAATCAACATAAATGCTTCATTAATCTACACTTTATGAGAAACTATCCATCTTATTTCCAATCTACATAAACAATATGGGCGATCTTTTTTACCTGTGCTTGAAATTGGCCATCGAAAGCTCTTGGTTCCAAATCCAATGCTTCCTTACTACTAGCTTGGTAAATGCCATAGAGAAGCTTCAAGTTGGTGTCAAAAAGAAATAGCTTGGCATCAGGAGCTATATTCTTCACAACTTCAATTTTCCCTTTAGGTAAGCCAAAAACGCGATATTAACATTCCGACTTTGTTTTTCCATTGCACATAAAAATGAATCCAGAGACATGTTTCTTTTCCTCCGTTTCTTTATACTTCTCCTGATCATTGCTGGGAGGGATCAAAGATGTAACTGAGTCTTGTGTTGGAATACTAACAGGTTCTTGGCTTGAAGAAGAACGGGAAACTTTCGAATTCGAAGTTTCATTTTCCTTCCTTGACTTCTTCTTCTTAATATATTTCTTAACACCTTTATTTGAGATAGAATGATTCAAAAGTTCTTCAACCTTTAACGCTTTCCCTCTCCCCTTTGCCATGGATGACTGCCATAGCTTAAACAATCAATATGGTTGCATATTTACAAGAACAAATCCTTATGTAGAAAAAGAATTCTACGGATAAACACATCATTAACCCATGAGGTTTAACAAACGAACTTGTATCAAAGTTTTTGATAATGAACTAGGTTTAGAGTTTCAAAACTTGTAACTAAAATCTCCGAGGTTTCTAAAATGCTTCAAAATCATGGGTCGTTCCTTTTTTGTGGGCTAACTACTTTAACCGAAAGATGATGAGGTACTTTTAAATAATTTTACACTACACTTAGGTTGATGTACAAGGACTTCCATGGGCCACCCTCCCTTTGCTTCTTGTCTTGGCAACCTCACCCACCCTCCATGTCTCTCTCCGTCTTCTCCTCTTCTCATGAACCCCTCTCCACCCCCTCCCTATCTCTCTCTCTCTCTTCCCTACTTGCTAAGTCTAAGTTGTCCACCCCTTTGAAGCAAGAGGAAGCAATATTGGAGAACAAAGCAACATAAGAGACAACAATGAGCATTTAGCAACCAACATAAGAGACTAAGTGAGGAGGGGAGGGGAGAGATCGAGGGTCGGAAAGAAAAAGAGAGTTAGTAAATTTTATTTTTAATTAACTCTCAAGTCACCTTAAAAGGTAATATCAAGTACATTATGTTTTGTCAATCGGCCTTAAAAGTAATATAATATCAATGGCGGTGCTTGAGGTTTCATCTCTTTCAGCATCCAAGGTTTCTCACAAACAAGTGTCTTTGGTCTATTAAACCTTTAAGCACTCATTCTCAAAAGGCATCGTTTAGTTGCTTACTCTTGTCTCCTCGTGGTCTTCCTTTCCCTCTTTACACTTGGGTTTAGATATCACAAAAAAGGTAAAGTCTTATACTTGGCTTTTCATAAATGAGAGAATTAACATTTGATGTTTTCCAAAGATCTACCTTAATGTTTAGACCACGATGATGCATTTTCTTTAACAAGAAACAACTTCTCATTGATATAAAAAAATTCTAGGGATACAAACTCCCAAAGGAAGTGAAAAAAACAATAATTAAAAACATTTAAGACAACCATATAGTGAACAACCATAAGCAAGAACATTTTATAGACTCAACAAAACACATCCCTACGAAAAAAGAAAAAAACGACTATTATTGACTTTTGTCACAATTTTTGAGAAACTTAAGAAAACTGGGGAGTGTCATCCAAATATGTGGTTATAGCTTTTTCTTTGTACTTCTTAGAAATGGCGGAACAAGGAGCTTAAGACATTCTTTGAAGATTCCCAATCGTAGAACATATTTGGAGCCCGCTTTTGCAAATACTTGTGTGAGGATTGCCCCAATACTTGATTATCATGGTATGACGAGGAAGCAATCCCACATCCTCCTTTCATGACAAAGAACTTTTACTTTAGCAAGCTAAATTTCTTACCTTTCTTAATTCAATTGACTTGAAAGAAATTGGAGAGTCCATAGAGCATAGAGAGTCTATAAAGGAAAGCTTGAAATTAAATGCACTCGAGGACTGCTAAAACCACTTAATAAATATTATACCATATAACCCCATAAACCACTCAACAAAACATTCCACTAAAATCAAGACATGTTAATTAAACAATTTAAGATTTTTAATAAAAATAAATGATTTTCAATAAAAATAAATGATTTTCAAAAATGGTGGATAGAAATGAAATACCACTAGCCAATTTTAGAAAACAAGCACTACCCAAAATTTAGGTCCTTTATGTTAATTCAAAAAATATACTCGTCATACAGTCAGCAATGTTCACCATGATTCATAATTTTCCTTAAAAAAAAAGAGAACTCATTGTGACTTTTTCAAGCATTATTGCAAATGCAACGCCTTGGAAATGAACAATTGCCAAACACATCACAAAGCTGGGTGAAATTTAAGCTTTGTGGAAGAAGCTCATATCTCCAATGTTAGCCTATCCACCATCCGAGTTAACCAAAACTTTTATCTAGTATAAATGGTCTCCTTACCATCCCAAGTGCAAAAACTCTCCAACTTTCCAGCCCAAAAATAAGTGTCACATAAGACCCCACTTTCCAGACTCATCAACTGGTATAAACCTAATGAAAACCCCATGCTCCAAGACAAACATAAAAACAGAAACATGCCTATGTATTCATGTAAGCATGCATTGAAATTTTCCAATAATCTACCAGCATATATCATGTATGCGTCCATTCACTTGGGATTCTGAAACCTAATCCCAGCAAACTTGAAACGTCTAATGCAACAACCTATCTTGAAAAATCAAACATAGCCATGGAGGCGAAGGTATGTTTCTGCCAAAACTTATTAACATTTGTCTTTCGGAGTCAAGTTTATGGTATAGGCACTACGTATCAGAGAGAAGATGAACAACAATTCAAGAGAAATCTTCGTCAATTTTTAAAAAATAAAAACAATATTTGAAGATCAAACCTTGACAAAACTAGAATATTAAAATGAAAAAAAGTAGACGAGAAACTGACTGCCATGATTATAACGACAGCATGGCCCCAGAAAAATAACGAAGTATTGACAGAGAGCTTCGGAATACCTGTAGACGTAGCCTCCCAAGATTCCGTCAGCGACGATTAGGGCAACGAGAGCGGGGACGAGAAAAAATGAATCGGCGGTCTCAATTCAGGGTACGTAGATGTATTTATGGAGCCCTCGAGATATTTGTACCGTCCTCCTGGCGGGTTGTGAAACGGCCGGTTTTTCCCGCGACCTGTCCCCCAACATTTAATTTAATATTTTTCTTTGTTGCAAAATTTGTATATATATATATAAAAGAAGACCACGTTCACCGAAGTCAAGCCTCTTATTTCATTGAATAGGAAAGACCCGATCGACCTGTCCTGAAACGTAAACTCATTCACCACTCCAATTCAGTTTCACAATTCTATTATCTTCCTTGGCTCTGGATCTTTTAGGGAATTCTCTTCTACTCCGGTACAATTTCACACTATGTTGCGGGTAGCGGGGAGAGCGGCCTATTTTCGTTATCTTCTCTGCCCGAGGTTGACAACGCGGTGCCTCCAGGAATATCGTATATAATTTTAAAAATTATGTTTCAAAACCAAAATTATTAAACCTTCGATGAAAACATCAATAATGACCTGAAACGAAGTGGTAATGACTAAAATGTTTGTCTAGATTAAGTCGAACTAAACAACATTCAAACACATTCATCGTTCAACGTTCTATGTAATTTAGAATTTAGTCCAATTATAAATTTAGGAGTTTAAATCCTATTAAAATGGTTTTTAGTTCCGTTTTTATCATATTTGTTTTATTTCAAAGAAAAAAATCAAGACCGAGATTACGATACCATATAGACTTTACAGCATCAACTTGGGCACTATATATATGAGAAATAGAATGCCTTCAGTTCTATCTAGCAGCCCGCTAGAGACGACTTCACAAGTGGAAGGAGTTTTGCTCGATTGATTATTGGAAACAGGCATACATATATTGGAAATAAAGGCTCCTGTTCTTCAGACCCTGCAAAATAATCCAAAGGAAGAAAGGTTCTTAGGCTACCAAAGGAGAAGCGGGCGTCCCTACCCCGCCCCGTGGACATTAGTAGACTAAATTTTAGAGCTTACTCGGTAAATTCGATGTTGATTTTTCCAGCATCAGGATTGGCGATGGAGGAGAAGGCTTCCTGGGAGAGATCAATGGTGGCTTGGCAGCCAGGAGATGGGCAGAGGTCAACGACCTTGACAGTGACAGTGTTGCCTGTGCATGGCTGTGGAACGCCCAAGTTTGTTGGGCCAGTGCATGTCACTCTGTACATTCTCCCACAGGATGCGCCATTGTTGTATATGCCTTCGCTGGCTGCTGCTATCATTGTCCCTTGCTCCTCCAACCCGAAGCATGCAGACGCTACACATATGAACCAAACAAAGCATGACAATACAAAACTATTGGGATTAGCGTAGAGGAAGGATATGTTTAGATACTCACGGACGTAAGGGGGCGTATAGAATGTTGCTGTGCCTGTGTCTGCATGAGCATAAGTGAGTATCAACACCAAACTCACAGCCAACGACACGACCTTCATTGCTGCTGCTTCCATTTGATATCTCACTTCTAAACCTTATACTCTATTTGCTCATGAATCAAACCCGTCTTTGCAATTCTAACACGCTATGTTATGTAGAAATTTATGGTCTTGTTTCAATTAATACGCAATTAAAGGAATATTAATTCTTAATGAGTAGGAAAAGTCAACAAATTTCAATTTAATTTGAGTTAGATTGATTATCAGGTAGTTGAAGTTGACTTGGTTTGGATTTGGTACATGAACCGTCTCTCTACTGTAGCCTTTTGTTAATTAGTTTCTTTAATGTTTCCTTCTAATAAGGTGTGGAATTTTTTAAAACGAATAATACTATAAGCTATCTGGATGGCTACGTATGCAAAACAATTTCTCTTATTGGCTCTTGAGAAATTAGTATTCAATCTTTTCCATTATTTTTAGTCAAATTGGATGCAAGTGATTAGAAATTATTTATCAACGGTTGGGAACGCTTTATGTGAGATCCCACATCGATTGGAGAGAGGAGTGAGTGCTAACAAGGACGCTGGACTTCGAAGGGGGTGGATTGTGAGTTCCCATAACGATTGGACAGGGGAATGAAGTATTCCTTATAAGGGCGTGGAAACCTCTACCTAACAGGCATGTTTACCTTGAGGAAAATCTCGAAAGGGAAAGCCCAAAGAGAACAATATTTGATAGCAGTAATAGGCTTGGGCGGTTACAAATGGTATTAGAGCCAGACACCGGGCGGGGTGTCAGCGAGGATGTTAAGCCCCAAAGGGGGTGGATACCGGGCGGTGTGCCAGCGAGGACGCTAAGCCCCGAAGGGGGTAGACACCAGGCGATGGGTCAACAAGGATGTTAAGCTCCAAAGGGAGGTGGACACAGACGGTGTGTCAGCGAGGACGCTAAGCTCCGAAGGGGGTGGACACCGGATGGTGTGTCAGCAAGGACGCTAAGTCCCGAAGGGAGGTGGACACCAAGCAGTGTGTCAGCGAGGACGCTAAGCCTCGAAGGGAGGTAGACACCAAGCAGTGTGTCAACAAGGACGCTGAGCCCCGAAGAAGGGTGGACACCGGGCGGTGTGTCAGCAAGGACGCTAAGCCTCGAAAGGAGGTAAACACCAGGTGGTGTGCCAGCAAGGACGTTGATCCCCGAAGGGAGTGGACACTGAGCAGTGTGCCAACGAGGACGCTAAACCTCAAAGGGACTAGACATCGAGCGGTTTACCAGCAAAGACGTTGAGCCCCAAAGGGTGAATCGTAATCTTTCAACTTCGTGTCTGAGAAGTATTTGAACCACATTGAACCCAAAATTTACACTTAAAAAAAGAAAATTGAATAAGTTAAAATTTTATTGACCGAAAGGCTATTAACGATAAAGTGGAAAGTTTATAGACCATTTTGAATGGGTAAGAATTTAAAGTGAAGATGCCAAGCTTTGAAACCCATAAGAGCTGTCTAGTTAGAGACGTTTGAATGAGGCCAGGCTTGCTCATAACGCTATCCGCCAAGTCGGTATTAAATGAGCATTGCCAGCCTATAGGCCTCACAATTTGGATATTCAATTTCATTTTAGTTGGTACCCCATATTTCTTCACCCACATTTACCCAATCTGTCTCAAAACATAAATGCACTGTCCAATTCCTCCTTTTTCCTGTTTTAGTTTCATAAATTTACACCTTCAATGGGACCCCATCTCCAAAAATATGTATAAGAAATAAGAAATAAGAAAAAGGATATGAACAGCTATCCCCACCTTAAGCTTTGATTCTAAGTTTGTCGCCATTATGGAAAAATCAATTCCTAACCATAATCCAACAGGTGATTAATTGGGACTTCTTTGTCTTGTGGTGAAGAAATTCATTGCTTCTAATCTTCTTAAGTGGGCCTATGCTGTTTGGTTGGATTCGTATTGATTAGGCAGTCAAAATCACTCACTCACTCACTAACAGTCAACAAAGCTTGCACAAAATTATGGCCTTATAACCAAAGATATTTCTTTCTCACTATGGACAACAATTCTGTTTTGAGTTCTCTGTGAAGACAGTGGTGGATTTTGTTTTTGTTTCCAGGAATTCACAGGTATGGGAAGTACAGAAATCAAATCACCTCAGGAGATGGTTGAAATGCCTGCAAGATTGGACGAGCAGAGGAAGAAGCTTGGGATGTTTTTCGTTGAATCGGACGATCGGAGGACGGCGTTCGGGCGTGGTTACACTGGAGGAACGACTCCGGTTAATATCCGTGGTAAACCGATTGCTGATCTTTCAAAGACTGGCGGCTGGACAGCAGCCTTCTTCATTTTTGGTAAGCAGCTTGTTGCTTGGTGTGCTTGTTTTGCTTGTTGTTAGTACTTGGAGTTGAAACTTGTGTTGATTTTGTTTACAAGGGAATGAAATGGCAGAGAGAATGGCTTACTTTGGGCTGTCAGTGAACATGGTAGCCTTTATGTTCTACGTGATGCATATGCCATTTACAACTTCATCAGATGCAGTTAACAATTTCCTTGGGATCTCACAAGCATCCTCTGTTCTTGGCGGTTTCATCGCTGATGCATATCTCGGTCGTTATTGGACGATTGCGATCTTTACTACAATCTATCTCGGGGTACGATTCGATCTTATTATAAGCTCCTCCTATCAATTCAAAGCTGATGATGATATTGAAGAAATGGTTGATTTGAACTAAATGCAGGGTTTAACAGGAATAACTCTATGTGCCACAATTAGTGCATTTGTACCAAACCAGAAGATATGTGATGAGTTATCACTGCTTCTTGGCAAATGTGAGCCAGCCAAGGCATGGCAAATGACTTACCTTTACACAGTCCTTTACTTGACAGGCTTTGGGGCTGCAGGTATTAGGCCATGTGTGTCTTCATTTGGGGCTGATCAGTTTGATGAGAAAAGCAAAGACTATAAGTCTCATTTGGATCGTTTTTTCAACTTCTTCTACCTTTCTGTCACCACTGGAGCCATTGTGGCCTTCACTGCCGTTGTTTACATTCAAATCAAGCATGGATGGGGAGCTGCTTTTGGCTCCCTAGCCATCGCCATGGGCTTCTCAAACGTTGTCTTCTTTCTCGGTACTCCTTTGTATCGACATCGGTTGCCTGGAGGTAGCCCTCTCACAAGGGTTGCTCAAGTCCTTGTGGCTGCATTCAGGAAGAGAAACGCCTCGTTTTCTAGCAGCGAGATGGTTGGCTTGTACGAGGTTGCTGGCAAGCATTCCGCTATCAAAGGCAGTGGAAAGATCCTTCACACAAATGATTTCAGGTTTGTCGAATTAGAGTAAGAGATCGTATTAATATTTTAAGCACGTTAAATTTTTGAGTTTAGCAGTGATTTATGCAGGTGTTTAGACAAGGCAGCACTCGAGTTAAAGGATGATGGAGGTAATCCAAGCCCATGGAGGCTTTGCACAGTGACTCAAGTGGAGGAAGTGAAGATTCTTTTGAAGCTGATTCCAATACCAGCCTGCACAATCATTCTCAATTTAGTGCTAACAGAATATCTCACTCTTTCAGTGCAACAAGCATACACCTTGAACACTCACATGGGCCGTCTTAAGCTCCCTGTCACATGCATGCCAGTCTTCCCTGGCCTCAGCATATTCCTCATACTTTCTCTCTACTACTCGGTATTCGTTCCGCTCTCTCGGCGCATCACTGGGCACCCACACGGTGCTTCTCAGCTCCAGAGGGTTGGCATCGGTCTAGCGATCTCGATAATCTCGGTCGCTTGGGCCGGGGTGTTCGAGAGATATCGAAGGAACTACGCTATAAAAAGTGGATATGAGGCCAGTTTTTTGACCCCCATGCCCAACTTGAGTGCCTACTGGCTGCTCATTCAGTATTGTCTCATTGGCATAGCAGAAGTGTTTTGCATTGTTGGTTTGCTTGAGTTCTTATATGAGGAAGCCCCGGATGCCATGAAGAGCATTGGATCGTCCTACGCCGCTCTCGCAGGCGGGTTGGGTTGCTTTGCGGCGTCGTTGTTAAACAGTATTATCAAATCCGTCACGGGGAACCCAAAGGAAGGGACTCCATCTTGGCTTTCTCAAAATATCAACAAGGGACAATTCGATTACTTCTATTGGCTTCTCACAGTCATGAGTATCATCAACTTCTGCATTTTTCTGTACTCAGCTCATAGGTACAAATACAGGAAAGATCATGAGGTTGGAGAAGGAATCATGGAAAATGGAAGGCATGGTACAATGTAAGATCCAACCCCACTCAGTTGGCTAGTTTTAGAGTTAGGTTTTTAATTGTGTCATTCTATACCACAAAAATCAAATTCTTCCGTTATCAATCTCTCATTTTTTGATCCATTTTTTATGCCGTTATTTCAATCTACACGATCAACTAAATACAAAAATCTCACTTTATTCGTATATGAACGAATAGTGAAACCTAATTGTCACGTTCATCTTAAACACATGAAATTCTAATTTTTAAAACAAAGGGATTATAAATTGAATGCTGTGATTCTTTTGTCATTCTATTTACCAACCAAAGGCAGTTGGCAATTATGATGCAACTAAATGCTCATCAGTTAGACTACACGTTACCTTTATTTATTTATTATTTTTTTTGAAGTTGCTGTACAGAACTAAATGGGTTTCTTTCAACTTTAATGCCTATTTTCTTTTATTTTCTTTTGTTTTAAACAGCTCATAGCTTTGAGATTTAGAATGCGACATTCAAGATACCTATTACATAGGAGAAAGTGATCTTTTGGGTTGGGATTGCCACAAACGAGGGGAAGGTCAATAATTCAGTTATTCTGTATTGTTCCAAGGTAATTCGGTAAACAAAATCATCAAAGAGTACGTTAAAAATAAACGATATCCTATCATCATGGAGTTTTAAGGTAGTTCCATAAACAAAATTATCAAAGAGTATGTCCAAACTAAACGATATCTTCCTATCATCATGGAGTTTTGAGGTAGTTCCGTAAACAAAATCATCAAAGAGTATATCCAAAATAAACGATATCTTCCTATCATCATGGAGTTTTGAGGTAGTTCCGTAAACAAAATCATCAAAGAGTATATCCAAAATAAACAATACCCT